TTATTTCTTTTGGTGGGTTCGAATCCCTTTTTTTTTTTTTTTAATTATTTCTTTTGGTGGGTTCGAATCCCATCTTATCCACATAAAATTTTTCTTTATTTTTTTAAATCCATTTTTTTGTGGACCTAAATCTTCAACAATAAGGCAATCTTTTTAGTGAAAAGGATGTATTCCTGCGTATTCGGTTGTTTATAAGCCTATATAAGTTCGATTTAGACATTATCAGACATATAAGCAATATATCGATCCGCCAAAAATAGAGCTATACTTTCCTATCTTTCCTGGCAAAGTTTGCTGACAAGGACATTTATTGCACTTGGATCTCTATATCATATCCCGCAAAGGACTAGTGGGTGGTGTCGTGCCTGCATTTTCTGACAAGGAAAATAAAGACCCACCCGAGTAAATAATATAATGACAAACAAAGGATGGTAAAAAGAAAAGAAGATTAATTGGTGATTCTGACTGAGAACATTTGGGTATTTGATCTTGTTGCCTCATGGTGCAAGATCAAGTTCACAAGTAGTGGCCTAAATATTAATTATTATTATTCAATTATTATGAAGTTATATAGAGAACACCTCTTAAGCTGGTATTAGAAACAATTAAGGACATTAAATCTCATGGAATTAACGTTTCACAGAAAAGAATGACTTCGTCTAACTCGTCAGCTGTACTAGGCCTCTGTGCATGATACAGGCAATCCTGTGAACGACTATAGGGCGTCACGTTTGAACAAGAAAATCTCGTCTTGAAGAARAAGAAAGTATAATCTGAATAGAATTTCAGAAGACGTCCATTTTCTATAAGATTGACGCCTCATTTTAAATCTCTTTCAAGTTCTTCAATTTAAATCCGTCGGCCAACGTTGATGTTCATTGGTTGCGAACCACTCCTTCCACCCAAAAATGCTGGGTTGCCTGTGTCACGAGCGAGTCGTGGCAGCGCGCGCGGCCATTGGTTCATTACTCCGATTGGCTGAAATATGTTATATGACGTACATAATGGAAAGTACATTGGGCTTCCTGTACTTCAATTCCATTTCTCGCGCACCTCTTCATACTCGAATCTGATTGGCTAAGGCCTTCAGCTGTCTGATTATGACGCTCTTATACGAAGATAAAAAGAATGAAATTTGTCGCGATGCTCATTTTATCACAATCTTTCTTAGTGAAAGCTTTGTGATAGTTGTTAGCCTCTTATAGAGTTTTTGAAAGCCTTACACGAGAAAAAAATATTGTAAAAACATTAAATATAAAGACTAGCGCACAGAAGCACCAAGGACTGGTTGGAGCAGCTAGTTTACCGTCTTCGTGGGAGCGAAAGCTCTCACGAAAATTGCGAGAAATCAAGCCAATCAAAAACGACATTGCTGGTAAGTACGTATGCATTTCCATAGAGATTTCGCTTTCATTTTTTCAAATCATTCTTCCAATATGGTTTAAAATAGTCATTGTTTTCTTGTAGTTTTGGCATCATTTGTGAATATGATGGAACCAACAGCAGCAGTACCGCGCACAGCGAGGACTTTGACGGGGGAGTCGCGCGCTTCGTGCTGCAGTCACACACACAGATCATCTATCAGTGAAGAAAAAGATACAAGATCACAAAACAATTACTACCAACATTGTAAGTACATTTTCTTGGTTTTTCTTTTTATCTATTAATCATTTGTTTTGTTTTTCTTTTCTTTTCTCTTTTCTTTTTAATTTTATTTCATGAATGAATCGTTTGCGCTATAATACTAAATATTTAGCAATAATAAATATTAACTAAAAATTGCTTTTTAAAAACATTTGATTAAAGTTATAGCACCAAGTTGAAACGACTTCATGATGACACGTGAGTGTGGAGAAAAGTCGAGTAAACTTGTCGCCATAGACTTTATAATCAAATAATTAATATCATCTTATATATATCTTAGACTTTTTTAAAGTAATATATACAGTATGAGTGGCCGTGTTGTATCAGATATGCAACCACGAGAGGCGTAGCCGAGTGATTGTATATCTGATACAACACGGACACGAATACTGTATATGACTTATCAAACGTCTAGGTTAGTTCCTTTGTGTTTCACTAAAATTTTCAAAATTATAGGGAATTTGACCAAGAAAATCCAACTTAAAGTTTATGCAAATGAACACAGTTTTGTATCAGATTTACAACACTCTTCACGGTCGTGATTTCTGTTGYGTTTTTCGTCATGAATTATTAATGAGTTTGATAAAGTTTATTAGAGTATACACTATAAGTGTGTAACATAAATACCACTGAATAGAGCTAAATTATACTAGTTCTATTGTTTTCTATTGTTTAATTAGCACTATTTACTACTAAATACTGTAAAGTGTTGCACACTTTTAGTGTTTGTACTCTAGAACCTAGAAATTAGTATATTATTATTATTATTATTATTATTATTATTATTATCATCATCATCATCATAATAATACTTATTATTATTGTTATTATTTAGATTTTATTACACATTGTAAATCAATAATGTACTATTTTATTATTTGTAAACCAACAGCAGCAGTGCCGCGTACAGCGAGGACTTTGACGGGGGAGTCGCGCGCTTCGTGCTGC